CTGACCGTCAATCTGCGTGATCTAGGGTTGGGGATGCACAGTCTGGATTCCTGGGACCGACCTCTCTTGTGCACGCCCACAAAAATTGAGGGGCCTTGCGTGCGACTGCACAGTTTGGATGCGTGGAATAGACTTCCCTTCTCCACACTGTCGAAAATAGAGAGACCTGGCTTGTACTGCAAGAGAGCATAGAGGTTTGGAAAGGGATTGCACCTCCAGAACGTTTCCCAGCCATTGTTTCGAAGTTGTGGGTGGCAGCTGGAACAAAATGGCTAGTGGCGCCAGCCAAAGGCCCGGGGGCGGTTCGTTTTTCTTTGGCGCACAGGGAGTTTGGAGCCCCGAGCAAAAGTGCCTTGGAAGTACTGGGGGCTTAATGAGACTTGTCAGAAAGATTTCATTGAGAGGACTCTGGGCAGCGAAATTCAAAGAGTCATCCGCTAGCCTGCTGTTGACTCTTGAGAATTGAGGGGTCCAAAAAAAAAACTAAACTAAAAAAAAGAGGGGTCTTGCTCGCCCCTCCGATCCGACAGGGGGAATAGAAGTCTGGAGATTTGGCCTCAGGTTGGGATCCAGGTGTCAATAATAGCTCTCTTAGTCCTCGTGCGCTCAGTAGAGCGTCCGAGGGGCTCGAGGGCGTGACCTTTGAGAGTAAGGCTGTTGTACTCCCACGAGGACGTTCCTGGATGTATCTGACCGCTTTCACGCCCAGGCATGAATGCATCTGATGGGTAGTAAGTCCAGAAACAAGTTGAAATAGTTCTAGTGTGCGAATGGCCTTAGGGGTGGAGCGGGGACCTCAAGAGGTAGGTTTTTGAGAGTTTGACTACTCTCAAGCTCCTCCCAATTCTCGAGTAGAATAGAGAAGAGTGGATCGAGATCCAAAGAGGAAAGGACCTTGCCACACCACTCACAAAATGAAACGTCTTCGCGCAGAACAGAAGCTGGTAAAAAACATCGGTTGCTATAAATAGTAATGGACGGATGCAGCCACCTTCGGCGGCGGGAAGATGCACTCGCATGGTTTCTGGTTTCCGTGTGGTGTGGCGAGGCCCAAAACCTCAGCTGTGTCCGGCAATGCCTTCCCAATGCACTCAAGTTATACCTGCATCTTGCGTTTGATCACGCCTGTGTCCCCTGCTCGTTTTTTATTTTTTATTTTTTAACGACTTCGAATCACTCGTTGCGTGTCACTCTAGATTTGTCAATCGAAAGAGCGAAGAGGGTGCATTTACCAAAATAAAGCGTCCACGTGCATCCCCCCGTCATTTCAACAGTGTATTTTTATCCACTCACCACATGCACAAAAGACAAAGAATATGGCAGTCTGTCTTTCCATGGCCCATGGCCCATGCCCCTCACCAAACTACGAACGTTGCGGAGCATGAAACGGCCCTCATCAAACTATGCATTGTGCGCTGTACCTTTTAGGAAATGGAAAACCTCGATGAGGTAACTAAATCGGGCTCGATATGTTTTCGAAGACGCAAACCACGAATCACCTCCTACAGAAAATGGCCATGTGTGGCCCTGCACCACGTTACGAAAGGCCAAAAAAACAAAAGCGACCCTCTGGACATGCTTTCGGTCCGGTGCGCACTTAGAAGAGTGCTAGGGCCACGACACACGCGAGGCAAAATGTGATGAAAACGAAATGAACATCGTCGTTTCTCCTCACGAACCCAAAAGAACCCACTTTGTTTCGTTTTTGGCATCTCCACAACACTTTGTTTCGTTTTGGCATCTCCACAACACTTTGTTTCGTTTTTTGGCATCTCCACCGCACGGTTAGACCGAGCAAGGTGCAAATATTTTCATGAGTTCTCAGGAAAAAGTTCCGACGAGTAGAGACAACATCTGCGCTGTCCAGACCGTCTTGGACTTGTGCGTGGGAGCGTTTTGGACGCATTCACAGGAGTCGTGAATTTCAGCGCTTCTTCAGAGGCAGCTTGAAGGACCCACAGCGACCCYCCCCCCCCCCCTTCCCCGCAGCCTGCAACATTTCTCACACGAGTTCCTTGCGAAGGCAGTTGTCTGACACCTCACAATTCCATTTCCATGAGGGGAAGTCGTGAGGCCGTGTGGCGGTGATGAAACGATTCACGAGTTGCACTTTTCATTTCCTTTCCTACACCGTGTGGCTGGCGAGGCCCCTACTGTGTGTATCGGCTGCTTGTCTTCCAGGCTATTGTTTACTTTCACTCTAACATTCAGGGTCCAAAATTTTGGTCACATTCCACTGTGGGCACTACGACTGTTCCAGTGCCAAAAGCGACCCGCAGTAAAAAGTTTCCCTTGGCCCCCCTGACAATGTCTTGCCACGACCACTTTTTTTGCTTTAAAATATACAAAAAAAGTTATTTGGTGCCAAATCTGTGCGGGCATCCATTTTCCCCGGGCGCATCTCTCTGCGGGAATCACTACTGCCCCTGTGCCGATTTCAGTGGGTGTGGCCCTTCTCCACCACGTCCTTCTCCTCCGACCTGGCAGCACCATGTGGAGTGGGCCATACTATGTCAAGTAGGTTGTACAATGCGCACACTCGCCCCCTGCTTGCTATCGGTTACCTGTCGTCTTCGCATCCAAAACGTGCCGCTATGTACTTGCTACGTACTTGTATTCGAACATTGAACGCTGCCATAACGCAGAGGCAAGTGGGCAAGTGGTGGAGGTCCACCACGCAGAGTCAGCAGTCCCATTCCAGTCAGTTCGGTATTCACCAGTTCGCAGTAGCTGATGCAGATCCCAGGGCTCGATCCCTAGATCCCCACCTTACCTGTGTACAGTGCCTGTGTCAACACGTGGAGTTGAACCTGCGACCTGTAGGACTGCCAGTGGCCGGTAGGACATCGTAGGTTACAGGGTATAGAGGATTCAAACTGTAGACCTGTCGGGTAGGAGTCTAGACAGTCTAGCAGTCGTAGCTGTAGACTTTCCGAAAGGTCAAAGTCGTAGCTGCTACTTACCTGAAAGGGCAGAGTCGTAGCTGCTACAGTACCGAAAGGCCAAGTAGATGGTTCTAGAAGTGGCCTTTCGGAGTCAGCCCCGGAGGTCCACCACGCAGAGTCAGCAGTCCCAGTCCAGTCCGTTTGGTCCAGTCAAGCAAGTACCGTTTGGGACTGTGTGCACCGTGGGCCAGGGAAACAGGGCAGACCAACGAGTCACCGGAGTATAAATCAAGAGGCCGCGCACAGCCATTCATTCATTCCTGCGGAWGCCATGCGGAAGCGCTGCCTCAGCGTCTTGTGCGAGGAGGTCTGCAATAGGCCCGAAGCTGAAGTGGGCGAGAGTGACGAAGTAGCCATAGCGATAGGGTAGAGGCAGCTAGCGCTGTCATAGCTGTAGCTTAGGGTGTTGTGTGTGTGTGATGCGTGAGTGTTCAGAGTGTCGTGTGTGGGATATCCAGGGTGATCCAGTGCGTGTGAACAGTAAGTTGTTGGGCGCTGAGTCGCCATAGCCAGTGGAAGTGAACTCTTACCTGGATGCCATATCTCTGAGTACTGTGTGGGCGCAGGTCGCCAGTTTGCTGTGCTGCTGTTCATGTGCATGAAAAGTGTGAATAAGACGAGTTTGATTGCATTGGTATCGGAGCTGGTACCCGCTACTCCATGCGCGCCGTCGTGTGCAGGGTTGAGGCGCCATAGCAGAGGTGGCCGCTGAGGGAGATAGTCCGCCATAACGGACCCGAGGTTGAAGAAGCTGCCGTGCACCTGCAAGAAGA